CCGGGGGAGGGGGGGCGACCTCCCGGCCCCACGGGGGTTCGTGTTGCCCTTTCTTAAAACGGTGACACACGCGTGGGAAGTGTCCCGCCGTGGCTGAGCGTGTCCCGGGGGCTGGGCACAGCCAGCAACCCCGGTCAGGAGGAAAACGGACCCACGGCTGCTTCTGAAGGGCAGGGGTGGGGGGGTCAGCCGCTTTTGGGGTGTCTCTTGGGCTGCCCTGTCCCGGCTCCAGTTCACTGCTGCCCCCCCCATCCAAACCCTGCCGCGCTGGGACGGACAAAGGTGTGTGTGGTGCTGGGGCAGGTGGGGAAGAGCTGGTTATTAAATTGGCTAATAAAATACCTTGCCTTTTTCTTTTTTTTTAATTAGACCCGCACATGGTGTTTTAGAGATCTCCTGCCTTTGACCCTCTGTCCAGAAAAGAGACTGAGAAGAAGCTGCAGGGCTGCCCTCCAGGTCTCTGCCCCACAGCAGGACCCAGTGAGCTGAGGCAGAGGGCTGGGACACGCTGGGTGATGGTGTTTAGTGGCTGTGCACACGTTTTGTGAGCCATAGTCAAGCCAGGGACAGGTGTCAAAGGGATAAGGAGACACCAGAGGTCACAGTGTGTAGTCAGTGTCAGGGGCAGCTTGACACTGGCAGTCAGGAAATGCTATGGCTAGTGAGGTGTTTGTGCTTCTGGGTCTATGCCTGGAGGGATGTGCAAGGCTAGGCTGCTGGAGCCCCCTGCCAGCCTTCACCAGGGCACCTACCTGTACTCAGGTTGGCCAGCTGCCATGGTTAGCCACCCCTGCCTGGGGGGGATGGCAGGGCAGTGGAGGCAGCTCTCCTGGCACCTCATTCCTGCAGGCACAGGTAGGTGAGCAGCCAGCCCCCCAGCTCCACAGTGCATGGGCATCCTGGGCAGAGCCCCTCATTTCCCAGCCAGGCTCTGGGGCATCTCCTGTTTTGCAGCTACAAGCACAGCTGGGCTAAGGAGCTGCCCTGGGGGCTTCATCCCTGCCTTAGCCAGGAAGAGAGCATCTGTAGGACTGTCAGCCTCCCCCAGGCAAAGTGAGAAAGGCAGCCAGCCCACAGATCCAGCCAGCTTCCCACTCCAGACATCTCCAGAATATGCTTCTCATCTCTTGGCCTGTTAAATTATCACGTGGGTAGCCCAGCCTGCAATGCCAGGCCACAGAAGAGCAAAGTGGACCAGAACACATGCTTGTAGGTAAGGAGGAAAGCAGAGGGCAGCTGGGCTCCAGGCAGAATTTCCAGCTGAGTGCAGGAAGCTTCCAGTGGAGCTATTCCTAGTGCCTGCCAGGGTGGCCGGGAGCTCCAGGCAGGTGGAGCTGCCTGCAACTAAAGGCAGAAAGGGGACAGAGGAACAGGTTGGGAAAGGGAGCAGTAGCAGCACAGCAAGGCAGGAACACAGCCAGGTGACCTGGAGCAGAAGGGCCTCCTGCACAGCAGCTGGAGGCATCATTTGCTTAATAGACATTGAAAAAGGACAAAGTTTGGAGTTTCTGATTGAACTGGTACTTTCACAGCACTAAAGTTCAGGTTTGCGCAAAGCAGAGCCAGAAACTTGTTGTTCTGGCTCTGGAACTTAGGCCACTGCAGCTGCTGGGGCTTTTACTCTCCAGGTGATAACAGACAAGGGTGCCCATTGTAACCCACCCGCTTCCCATCTGCTGTAGCTGTGTACTTTAGCCTTTCTACCTCAGGAAGCACTGGAAAGCCAAAGTACTGCCCTTTTCCCCCTTCCCATGCCCCAGGTTTTGCTACCACAAAACATATCAGCTGTGCAAAAGGGATGAACATTCATTTCCTAAGCTACCCCTCCTCCAGTGAGCATAAAGCTTATTTCATACTTTATCAAAGCTAATTTTTTGCTAAATTAGGCCAAAAAGCTCCGCAGATTATGCACTGCCTGGCTTTAGTGCACACAGTAGAAGCAGGAGTGGAAAGCAGTAGCTTAGCTCTCCCCTTGAAAACTGAAGTTTGGCATCAGCCAAAGGGAAAGGGGCTGAAGGAAAGCCAGTTTCCTGTGGGGGGAAAGGCCTTTCTCTGTGCTTCAAGGCTCTCTGCTAGAGCCAGTATCTCACCCTGATCTAAGCTCTCAGTGGGGAAAATCAGGGCAGATAAAATGTGATTATGGGATTATTTTTCCTGCAAAGGCAGGAATCCATCCAGAACCACCATCTGAGTGGAATGATCCTAGCCCCAGGAGCCTACAGCCACCCCAGGAACTGCTGGGTTCCCCTGCAAGGGAGGTGTGAGTCCACCTCTTGATTTTTTTTTAACCAAATGCTGGCTTAAAAAACAGGAATCAGTCCTATTTGGATCAATCAGTGGCCAAAGTGGCTTAACTCATACCAGAGGCAGCCTTCCCCAAGCAGACACCCAAACATCACATTCCTCACAGGGCCTTAGCTGGCAAAGCTGCAAACCTCCAAAGAAACACAGACAGGGCAGGCTCCTGCAGGAGAGATCCTGCCAACAGCCCCTTGCACCACACAGCTCTACTGCACCCCAAGGATGGCATCAGCCCACCCAACAACCCCTGCCACACGCTCAGGATCTCTGCCACTGGCTGCAACACCCCATGAGCAAGGGCATATTGCTACATGTAGCCTTCAGAGGTCTGACTACTTTCCACCTCTCTCATCACCTCATTAAATTAACAACCCAAACGTTTGTAACAAAGTGTTATTTATTAGAATATTACATCGCATTTAAAAAATAAGGGAGGTCTAACTCTGTCACCTTGACCTACGTGAAGGGTGCAGGGCCAGACCTACAATAAATATAAATACTATGTACAGTTTATCTAAAATAAATATATAATTTAAAATGAAAAAAAAAAATCTCGTTAAATAGCTGTTACCCTCCCACCTCTCCTGTGCCTAAGCAAGGCCCGAGCCCCCCTCTCCCCTCCTTTCACAGTTTGTTCCTGGCACCGCAGCGGAAGGAGCTGGTGAGCCCCTGGGCCAGCGAGAGCCCCTGGGCCAGTGAGAGCCCCTGGGCCAGCGAGAGCCTCTTCCTGGCCCCTGGTGCAGCCCCAGAGCTCCACGCTCAGCCACGGCTGCCCCACTAGCCCCAGAGCAGGGCTCCTGCAGCTTCCGTGGGCTCCGCGGCTCTTGCCTCTCCCGGGAGGTAGAAGTGCGTCAGTGCCGAGCCCTGCAAGAGAGCACAGGAGCTCAGGGCAGGGTCCCTTCGCCCAGCCACCGAACACCCCTCCAGCAGCAGCCACTCACTGCCATGAGGGGCTGGACCTGGATGCGGTGGTGTTAGGTCACAGGCTGGACTTGATGGTCTTTAAAGGTCTTAAAGGTCTTTTCCAGCCTTGGCAATTCTGCAATTCTGTCACTGGAGCCACGATGCAGGAGTGGTGGCCAAGCACCCCACCCCATGTCCATCATGCTTCCCTTCCACTTCCCTTCCCCAGCACTTTTCCCCCTACGATCCACCCCAACGATCCCCAGGGCAGAAGGGGCAGTGATGAAAACCTTGTGCTGGTTGCCCTTCCCCAAAATTCAACTCCTGTAAGCAGCTAAAAATCCCCCCCCCCCCCACCCTGCCAGCAGTATTAGAGCATTACAGAAATTCTGTGAAGGCATTATTACATCTTCCAAAGAACAAAGCTTTGGCTTAAAAAAAAAAACCACACAAAAAAACCCCCCACAAAAATCAACAAAAACCTAAATTAAAAAGAAAAAGAGAGTAGCTATAATATCATCTAACACATCTAACGTCAGGGTTTGGAGCAGAGCAGAGGAAGTCTGCAAGCTGTCCAGCACCCAGACAGGGCCACTCCTGGGCAGAGCCCACTGCCCAGCCAGAGTAACAGCACATGTGACTGGCTGCAAGATTCCCCTGTGCCCAGCTGGAAGGCATTACACTGGTGCAGGCAACAAGCAGAGTGGGAGTGAAAAGGAAGGGTGTTTATATATATACCCATATATATAAATAGAGGCAATATCTAACCAGGGGAAGTGACTCAGAGGGTCAGGGAGGGAGCAGAACAAGTGGGAAAAAAACCCAACAAAACAACAGAAGAAGCTTCCCCCCACTGCTAAATGTCCCCAAAGCATGCAGTGATGAGGCAGAGAAGGGACTTAAGGTTACAGAGGAGGAGATGATGGTGTTGGAGGTGTTGGGAACAGGGGCTTGAGCAGGAAGGGTAGGAATGAGAGCTGAAGCCCCACGGGGAAGCCCAAACTCCTGAGCCAAATCCAGCAAACTTCTTCTCCAGGCTCAAACTGCCTTCAGCTCCTGCGTGGCTCTGGCACAGGATCCATGTAGCATCCCAGCCAGCATGAACAAGCAGAATCCCCAGATGTCCACCAGCCCCATCCCTGGTCAGGGGCTCAACTCACCAGTACCTGGCATCCTCAGTGATTCACAGTGATGCCCAGCTTGATTTTCTCTTCGTTTTCTACATCGTAGACACCCCTCTTGTGACACCTGTGAGGCCAAGCAAAGAGATGCTCAGGGCACAGAGAAGTCACTGCCACCCTGCCATGCAGGTTGTCCTGGTTTCAGCCAGGGCCTTCCTGGCGATGTGGATCTGGTGGCTCAGCCCTGTCCCACTCACCTGAGCATCAGCAAGGCTGCAATGATAATGAGACACAGGGAGGACAGGACAACAGCAACAACAGCCAGTGCTGTGGTGTGGTCGTACACACTGGGGGGGTGCTCCACAGGCAGTGAAAGGCCATGACATCTCTCTCCATGATACCCTGGCTGGCATCTGGGGGAGAAGAAAAGTCTTAAAAGTTGGTGGTGGTGGAACACAGGTGGTCATTGGGTTTTTGGTGACTAAGAACAGAATGTCATCGGGTCCCTCACATCCCCATGGAAAGCAGCTGCCTCCTTGCTTAGCCCCAGCAAGCACTCCACCTGTTCCATTTGGTCCCCCTTCCCAGAGCTGGGAGGTCCGGTGTCACCATCACCTCCCTGCTACTGGTAAATTAAGTTTATTCTGCCCCAGGCACCAAGTGAGCTCTCCCCCAGAAGAAGGCACTGGAGTCTGTGCTCCTCCCAGTCATGCCCAGGCAGAGCCAAGCTGCCCAGACCACCTCTGGAAGTGGTGAAGTCCCACACAAAGGAGCAGAGAGGCAGCTGGGCTGGAGCTCAGCACTTCCCATCTCTCAGAGCAGGATCTTCCTTCACACTCTACCAGCCAGAGAGGTGCCACCTCCCTGCAGATTCAGGAGGTTACTCATGTCACAGAAATAACACTCCTCAGCAGAGCTGTGGGGCTGCCAACCTCCCCATGAGCCCAAGTGCACTGATGTAACCAGATAATATCTCTCTCCATATATCCAGTGCCACTAACACCCAAGCTTATCTCCAAGACGGGGTCTCAGCCCAGCTCTCCTGCCAGGCCCACAATGCCACATGCCAGTGTCACCTCACAGACAGGTTGGGCACAAAGCAGAGATGCAGGACACAGTCTGACAGCATCTTCACCCCACCTCACACCCCAGGGACAAGCCCAAGGAAGCAACGATCCAGGAGACCCTGCAACATGGGCAGCCAGCCACTAAGAGCAGGCACAGCTGAGTGACAGCAGCCAACACCAGGCCTTAACATCAGAGGGGACAGGGGCTGTTCCTAAAAGCCTTGAAGGCTCTAGGGGATGGGCCACCAGGCTGCAGAGCCCCAGCCAGCCACCACATCCCTCTCTGCCTGCCTGTGTCCCCCAGCCTGAAGGATGTGGGAAGGGCAGGATGCTGGGCAGGGAATGCCTGGCTGTCCCAGCCCCAGGCAGTGGGTGCTGCACCCCACACCACACTGGCTCACAAGCCAAAGCTGAGCCAGCAGAGGTCTCTTCTTGCTGGCAGTCCTGAGCCCCCTGGGCAAGGGCCCAACTTCATGGCAGCTTCCAGGCAGAGAGAAACTAAGCGGTTCAAGGAGCTATGTGGAGCCTGATCCCTGCAGATTGCAGGGTGAGGGATCTGCTGAGCACCATAAGCCATGGAGTTATTATCTTCCCTGGACCCCAGGCACAGAGCTGCGTGGCTCAAAGGATTGATAGCAAAGAACAAAGCCTCTTACATCTCTGTCAGCTCAACCCCAGCTCACATCCGCAGGGATCAAATGTGCACCCCTAGATATTTCCCGTGGTGCTGGACAGAGGTGCCCCAGCAGCAGGCAAATGCTTTCTTTGCTGCTTGCCTTGTCTAGTCCCTGCCCTCTACCTGCACCACAGGGGGAGGTACACAGCCCTGTCCTTCATCAGGGCTGAGGGACAGCTTAAGCATGGCTTCAGCAACTGCTCCCAGAGGTGCTACCTTCAATCCACCTTGCTGGTGCAGAGATGTTTCTCCTGCCTGCACCAATACACCCCAACAGCCATGGGAGCCTGAGCCCTCAGCAGTGAGGGACAGGGAGACACAAGGTTACAGAGCCAGGATCGGGTCTTGCAAACCAGACCCCATGGGAGACCTTGGCTACAAGAGCCCAGCCCTGCTTACTGTTCTCCAAACCCGACCTCTGTGGGTCTCCACTCCAGGGGGATGCCAAGTCTAAGTCCACAGCAAATTTTGGTGGGGGATGGATGTTGCCCAAGAAGCACAAGGAAGAAGCCAAGTCAGAGATGCACAGACAAGGAATATCTTCCTCTGCCTGGCTTGGAGAATTGAAGGAACCATGACTAAGGCTCCCCTGGCACAGGCACACGCCAGCAACTCACATGCAGGAGGGAGCTCCCAGCTCTCTGATGTATTTGCATTCGCCGTGGATACAGAAATCCTTGTACTTCTTCAGGCACGGGTCTCTCTTCTTCCCCTGGCCTTTGCCTTTTCTTCTTTTATTCCCGTTCCCTTTTTTCTTGGGAGTAACCAGGCCTTGAGGCTTTGACAAGAAAGCAACTGGAGAACAATTTGGGAAGGAAAAAACAGCAGTCAGATCACCTCTGTGCGTCAGCTGAAGACAACTAAGAGCAGCAAATCCTGGGCTGCTGCAGCCAGCTCAGCCCTGGCACTCCCACAGCCTTTTGTGCAGTGACCTGCCCCGGAGCAGAGGGCTTTTTTCCATTTCTTTTTTAGCTTCCAACAAATATCATGGCCTTTCCAATTCACAAGAACAATTCTCAAGGAAAGAAAAGAATTGGGGCAGGGAGTGGGAAAGCACTGAGTTTTATGTCTCTCAAATGTTGCCATTATGAGCACCAGTTTCCACTGAACACAGAAAATTGCTAACTGCCCCTTTATCTAGCTTTTATTTCCCTGATGAGCTCAGCCTTTTGCAAGACCCTATTCATGGCTCTGGTGGACTCTCCTTCCTGTGGGTACGAGGATGCCTTGAGCACGCAGAGCAAGCCTGGCTTAATTCTTAGTTTTGCAGAGCCAAAGAGATGGCAAGGGCAGGGCTCCCACCAGTTACAAAGGTAAGTTTGAGTTGCACTGCAGAGACGGGTGGCTTTTGGTGCAAGGCCAGCTCCCTGCTGGGCTGGTGGGAACCAGAGCACTGAGCTCCTCACCTGGACATGGATGAGACCAGCAACATTACTGGAATGGTTTTAAGATGTGGAGATGCCCAAAAAAATCAGCCTCCAGCTTGATCTCACAAGGTGCCAAGGATGCTAGAGAGAGCTCACTGCTCTGAAAGGGGCTTTGCAGCTCCTATCATTCCACAGTGCTTTATTAATTCTGGTGAGCCCAGGGAAACATAAACTAAGTCCTGCGTTGCCTAGGGAGGAGAAGGCAGCTGAGTCTAACTTGGCAAGTTGTGACCTGCCTAATTTCTTCTCAGCCACTTCCTGATATGGCTCCTCCCTGGCCAGCACCTCTCGTGCTGCTGTACACCAGTTGCACACCTGGCAAAGTCATTTGGCCATTTCAACATCCTTCACACTGTGCCTAGAGAAAACTGATACTCCAGGAAACTCTGTGGCTTGGAGAAACCCTGGCATCCGGGTGAGGCCCAGGGCTCTGCCCCAGGCTGGCAGCAGAGGCTGTCTCCTCCCCTGTGGGTTATATCCCAGCTGCAACCAGTGCTGCCGACCCCCTCCAAGCCACCACCACTGTCACTACCCCTCCCCTCCCCAGGGCTCTGTCCCTTAGGACAGCCAGAGAAGGTTTGGAAGATCTTGCTGGTAGGAAAACTGGTCCAGCCCAGGTGGGCAAGGGAGTGCTGCTGCCCTCCCCCTACTCAGGCACCCTGAAACTGTGACACAGAAGAGGCCTTCAATACAAAAGGCAGATTTTTCTGACCACAGCTCAGCTCAAGGCATTGAGAAAGAGCAGCCTCAGTAACCTAACACCCCCCATCCCCTCCACCCAGCCCAAAGGCACAGGCAAAGGTCAGCCCACACGTGCCAGGTTTCTTGCTCTGGGACAGGGTCCCCTCCTCACAGGGATGTACAGAAGAGCAGGCTGCAGCATTCCCCTGCCAGCAGAAGGGGTTACAGTGTGCTCTGGGTCATGCACCCCCTTGGATGTGAGGGGGGCAGAATGATTTTGCAAGTTGTTTTTTTTTTCACAGTTTGATGGCACAGCCAAAAAGCAAATAAAAATTACTGGGGGAAAAGCTAAGATTAATTATATGGGGCAAAGCACTCTGCTCCTGGTGCCAGGGTACTGACCTTGGCACGTCACACGTGCCAGACACAGACACAGGTCACCTCCCTCAGCCTGCAAGGAGCCTCATCCCATCCCCACGAGAGCTCCCGGGACACTCTCCCGCCCCCGGC